AAAAAAAAAAAAAAAAAAAAAAAAAAAGAAAAAAAAAAGCTGCATAAACGAGAGTAGATACGAGAGAGAAAGATTGAAAGAGAAAAACGAAAAAGAGAGATAAAGTTCGTTGAATCCGTATCGCTCGCATATCATAATTGACAAACGTTTTTAAACGTTTTAGATATCAGCGATCATTGACGATTGACTTGTTGTTACGTATTTATCTCCTGAATATGTGGCACTTTAACGAACCGTTATTTTTACGGTATTGCGATTAACAATTGTCAAAAAAATTATGAAAGAAAATGGCGAAGGAGAGTAACGTGCGCGTTGCAAGTATACGCAGTTCTTGTACGTATGAGGTGGCTGATTTTTTTATTATAATCGGATTGTATGTTTTTCAAATAAGAATACAATTTTGTAATTTTTTTTTTTTTTTCCTTTTTTTGTTTAATCATATTCAAATCACTGAAGTTTTTCACGAATCGATTATATCGATTTTACGTATTTATCATTGTGTTTACGAAAAAATTTTTCATTGATTCAAGAATCGAGAAATCAGAAGAGAAAAGAAGTAAAAAAAAAAAAATATATATATATATATGTATATATAAGAAAGAAAAAATGCAAACGGTATTGGAATTTAGAAAAAAATACTCTTATTATATCGTACCGTGTGCAATGTTTTCTTTTTTTTTTTTTTTCCTTTTTTTCTTTTCCTATTTTCTTAACTGCGATAACGAAGAAAGATTTGAAAAGACTACAGGGATTATTATTATGCATAAAAAATAATAGGAATAGTTGGAGAAGAAATGGCGCAACAGAACAGTATTTTTGTATTAGCTATGTCGCGCAGAGGTATACTCTCTCTCTCTCTCTCCGAAATAATATTCAAATGTTTGGGGATCAAATATATTTGCAATATATCCGTTTCAGTGTCACGGTAACGGTTACCGCGTGCTCGAAGGAACTGAAATTTGAGAAACGTCAACGAAGAAGCGAGAGAAAAGTAATTGTAAAAAGAGATAGGGAATGACGACGAAATGGATAACCGAAAAGTATGGTCGAGAAAAGGAGGGAAATTGACGAAGCGTGCCGCTGCTGATCACGTCTTCGTCCATTTTTATTTTTCCATTGGCAAAATATGGATGTGCGTGACGCGATGATTTTCGATTCCCGTTTATCAAAGATCCAGAAACGAACGAAACACACTT